CAAGGTATGTTTAATATCCTTCAGTGTGCCCCAAGGCTGACACGCAGCATGGTGATGTTCTGGTGCATGGGCTGGGCACGCAAGGTCATGGGGTAATAGGTTTGCATCCAGGAGTCAAACTGGTCTCTCTTGCAACAATATCCATCTGTTCTTCAACTGTCAAACTCCAGTCGAAAGGAACACCTTGTGGTGTTTATGTTGCATAGCACACGCCACCAGAGGAAATTGTTTCTCTCTGAAATAGGTCCTGATAGTCAGCCATTTAAGGTCAGGATTATCTACTACTGTTGAACATCGGTTTCAATTGGAAGATGAAACTACAGTTGTACTTTGCTCAGCTCTAGTGGGAAATGTTTGGAGAAACGGGTACACCTTGCTCATTGTGCTGTTGATTGGGTGTAAAGAGGGAATCCCATGTTGCCTTGGAGGGGTTCCTATGATGTACTGTATGTTCTTACTGAATCATTCATTCCAGGCACGAATCCATCTCCGTCCTATCCCCGGTGCCCGTGCTTTCATCAGACAGCGACAAAGATGGTGAAGATGAAGGGAATGATGAAGACGAGTTAAATGGGCTGCAATCTTTCCAAATTCAATCCACCTGCAACACTGAGAGAGACTTGGGTATAAATGGGAAAGGTGAGGCACATGGAAGGATAAAAGGGGACAGGGACTTGAACATGGGCAGACTTGTGAGGCTGTATAAAGGCAAAGAAGAGACATGAGGGTAGGGACAGTAACAGGCAGGCAGAGACCTACCAAGAGAATTCTTCGGGGATGGAGGAGAGGGGAGATCAGCAACCTTACTTGCCTATGCAGAGCTGGAGAGAGGTGGATTCTGACTTCCTTAATGGAAATTTCTGTTGAGAATTTTTGACAAGTTCTTACTGATTCCAGTTGGCGAAAGAGGTTTTGAATCAGATGTATGGGGACAATTAGTCTAGTGACTCCTGGGGCTTCTGATTGCTCAATAAAAGAGCCACAGAGGCCAGTAGAAATCTAAAGAAACCAGTTCCAGGCTTCTCAGTGTGTCCGCGATAAGCGCGCTCAGTATTAGAGACAGGTATCACAAGTGGAATGACTGTAGCCAGAAGAAAAAGATTTTAGAGACAAGAAAAGGCGGTAAAATATCCTTACTGGCCAGGGTGCCAATTAGATGTCGTTTTTTCTCTTTTCAGACCCAGACCTTTCTCTCTCCAGAAGCCTCTCCCATTGGGAAATGAGGAGGGTGAGTCACTAATTCTTTAACATTTTTCTTCTGATCATGAGGAGGAGTATCTGTTGAGCCCAGAGACTATGACTCCTGGCTGATGGGAGGAATACTGCAATGAGAAATCTCCCAAGGCAGGAATCCCACTGCTCTGGCCATTCTGGGAGGAAGTATGCAGTACTACCATGTGCTGATTGGGGCTAGAGGATAAGAATGGCCATGCTGAGTCAAACCAATGGTCCATCTAGCCCAGTATTCAGTCTTCTGACAGCGGCCAATGCCAGGTGCTTCCGAGTGAAAGAACAAGGCAGTTAACAAAGAACAAGGCAGTTATCAAGTGATCGAGTGAATGAACAAAGAACAAGGCAGTTATCAAGTGATCTGTCCCCTGTCATTCAGTCCCAGCATCTGCCAGTCAGAGTCTTATGATTTGACAGAAGATGATCATCATAAAAATTAACCTTGTGATAGATCTAACTGTACTATTCATCTAGTCAGTGCAGGGATAAGCTGAGAGAGAGAGTACTAAAATGTCAGAGGTACAGTTTTTTAAACGTTAAAAGGATCTGGATGGAAATTTTATCCCATGTAATAAACCCACCTCTTTATCCATTGTTACTACTGAGTGCAGCAGAGTATTCATAATGGTCCCTTCTCACCTTAAAGTCTATGAGTCTATGATCATCTAGTCTTACCCCCTGCACAGTGCAGGCCACAGAATCTCACCCACCCCTCCCAGAATAATCCTCTCACCTGTATCTCAGATATTGAAGCCTTCAAATACTTTGAAGACCCCAAGATGCAGAGAATCCTCTAGCTGTGATCTGTGCCCCATGCTACAGAGAAAGGTGAAAAACCTCCAGGGCCTCTGCCAATCTACCCTGGAGGAAAATTCCTTCCCAACCCCAAATATGGCGATCAGCTAAACCCTGAGCATGTGGGCAAGACTCATCAGCCAGACACCCAGAAAGTTCTCTATAGTAACTCCTATCATCCCTCCATTGACCTATTTCCCATTGATAATGAATGGTCAGTTAGTTACCAAGATCATGTTATCTCATCAAACCATCCTCTTCATAAACCCATCTAGTTTAATCTTGAAGCCAGATAGATCTTTTGCCCCCACTACTTCCCTTGGAAGGCCGTTCCAGAACCTCACTCCTCTAATGGTTAGAAACCTTCGTCTAATCTCAAGTCTAAACTTCCTACTAGCCAGCTTATATCCATTTGTTCTTGTGTCCATATTGGTATTAA